ATGAAAAAATATATTCTATTTCTCTATTATTATTCTTTACCTCCGGCGATTTAATGTAGGCAGCGCATCTGCGATTGCAGATGTCAATGGGCAAGGATTGCTTCGCTATTTCAGCGAATTCAGGTGGCTTTTAGTTCGCTTGCCACCGTATAATATTATAATAAAAAAATCTTATTTGAGTTCAGATCAAATGATTTTTTGACAACATATTTTATATATTTCGTTGCAACATTATATAATGTATCCGATAATTTAGCTTTAAAAGTAACCCGCTGGTCTTTAATATAATAACGGCGCTCTAAAACAATTTTATGAATCGAGAATGTATGCCAAGTTTTATGCAATATTTCTCAGTAATCTTCCGAGGAAATAGTTTCCTTTGCGAATGTTTTATTCTATTCAGTTGTATTGCGGATAAAATGTATACTTAGTTAATTAAGATAAGTTACTTAACTCTTTTAGATGAATTTAAATGCGAAAATAATTTTCTTAAAAAATTTAACTCCAATATACACCAAAGAAATATTTATTATCTGTGTTACCTTGAAGGCAGTTACTGATGTACTGAATAAAATACGATCTTGTTATACTTAACTCTAACCGTGGGTTTCTACTGCTATAGTGTTCTTATGTAAACATGTTATCATGTCTCTCATTCTGTTTGAAATAACTGACATGACAATGTTTTTATATAGATGTTTCTACAGTGGAAACTCATGAATGTTTCTTTACAGTATAATACATATATTCGAATGGATAATTATTAAAAAAAAATGTTTAGGAACTCGAAGTTAATTACTACGAAAAGTCATTGTTATTTGGTTTCGCAATAGAGAATCGGGAGTTTACTATTATTGTGTTTTTTTTCATATCCAGATAAGTACACTCGTGAGATTAAGCCAACAGTAAGATTCTGCTTCCCCTATTTTTCGAGATAAACACAATTGTTATTCATGCTTAGGATTTTATTACTTAATAGGATGTTCGTAGTTATTGCATGCACGACATTTTAGTTTTCCCCACTGAATAATAATATAAGATATTTGCAGTTTTATACAGAGTTATAATATTTCATATTTTATTTGCTAAGTTATTAAATTACAAAAAAAAACAATATATTGTAAATTTGGAAATATACGAATGACAAATATAACTTTAATTATTTTGATTGATTTTATGAGTGTCATAATCTTATTAAGTAATTTATGAAAATGAAAACGTATGATTTAAAAACTATATTTCTTTTTAATAGTTATTATCGATAGTATATAAAGGTATTCATCAATTTTCTTTTTACACAATAACTGGAATTAAAAATAATATTAATAACTAAAATAATGGAAAAGCAATTCCATTTTCTTTAAGTTATTTAAATTTTGCGGCCATTTGTACTCGTTGTCTAGAAAGACTGCGCCCTTAATTCTTTTCCAAGGCCGATGTTTAATATCAGATGAGTCGCTTACTCATTTGTCTACAATATAATGTATTTTCTTTAGATTGTTATTCATTTATTTTTCAAAATTGAATAAAAGAAGGATGAAGAACAGTACATTTATCTGACGTTCTTACGGTGAAGGAAAACATCGTTATGCAACCTGACCATATTTGTGAAGAAATTCAAAGATATGTGTGAAGTCAACCAACCCGCACTGTACCAGCGTAGTTAACTATGACCTAGTCACCCCAACTTAGGGAAGACTCCAAGCGCCTTAGTAAAGATGTAGAGTGAGCTGATGATGATAATAATGCATAGAGTTTTTTGAAAATTTTAAAAGTATAGTTTCAGTAATTTATTTCTAGTTTCTTATGGTCTAAAAATCTATTACTTGATTAAAAATAGAAAACAGACGAAAGTTTGGTAATCCCGACTATACTTAAAATGTAATTTATTTGCTACTTATAAATTAAAGACGGTCGTTAATCTACCACAACTCTTTATTAAGTTTAAATTAAACACATTGCAAATTCCTTTGCTCTTAAGCCAATAATACAAGGAATGATTAATGCAACACCCTTTACAATACCTTTTGACCTTTCGTTTAATTTGCTCCTTGTTTCGAGAGTTTCATTAACACATCGGGGAAATAAAATGAACGAAGGGAGACGCGAGAACATGAAATCACGTTACCCCTGGACAGGGGCCCATTGCGGAATGAAATGAATACACCGAATGGTTAATTTGATATTTAACCACCCTTCAGACGATTTGATGAACTTTGATACACGTTTTTATACTTGTAACAAATCGGATTTACATTTAAGTCATCAACTTTCTTCATATTTCACTTACAGTGGGTTTCTGAGACCAAAATTTTCGATCTAAACATATTGTTATCTCTGTTCTGTTAAGAATAATAACGGGGATCACGATATATTTTATACAGAGATTTTAATGTAGCATCAATTATATACCTAGATTTGAGATCAATGTAAATTCAATTTAAAGAACCTTGACTTCATTACTCGACTACTATAGTTAGGAATAGAGTACTGTGAATAATATCAATAAAATCTGGATCAAGCTATTTAGACAAATCAAATAAGATAGATAAAAGACTTTGCTTAACATCGGAATGCGCCAATGGAAGCCTACAAGTAATAGAATGCATGCAGTACACGCAAACGCAATAGTTCATGTTAATGAAACGTAATACTGTGTTCCGGATGGGAAAGGTATTAACATTAATCGATTGCTACGGGGTACAGAAAATAGTTTACACAATTTGTTGAAGATGTCTCTGTGCTTAGCTGTTTTAGCGAATGTAACCGTTTGAAAGACTTGCATGTTCTCTTCAAAACAGAAGCACTTGTTATTTTAGTAATAACTAAACAAAACGTTTTTTATTGTGACATAGTAACTTGAAAATGTGTGAGAATGTTCATTTAATAAAAGAATATAAAATAAAATTATGATTACAATAGTACTAAATATAACAGATAATGAAACCTCAACTGTAGAAGGAAATCATTTATAGGCAAATATTCTTAGAAATCAAGGGCATTATTTCACCTTCGACTTGAAAATCTATTAGATTCCGGTATAGAAATAATTGGATAACACTCTCGGTATAAAGTTTCACGTGAAACGACAATTAACTTAGGTTTATATACACAGCGACAACTGACTAAGCGCTACATTTCTGGGGCTTTACTTGTGTTAATTTCCGCTGATGCCGTTAATCTTATTCTAATTTTTTATTATATACTTAAAGCAAATTTTTACTTTGTTTATTATTCTAACATTTTTAAAGTATTTTTACTGTAACTGAAATGATAATAAAAGATAAAAGAAAAAGAAACATTAAAGAGTGAATCCTATTTTTCTGTACTTGTTTATTTCTACTATATGATTTATTTTTCATGTTTGATGGAAATATTTAAATATGCTTTTATCAAAATTACAAATTTTGTCGTTTGTTCTACGTCATATCAAAAGTTATTCATTTTAACCTTTATAAATACTTAAATTTAACTTTATAAATAGTTTTGAGCGCTTACGAAACGGTCTGGTAACCACAATATCCGATCACTAAAATATTGTTCGAACTCTCGCCGAACTCTCCGTTTTATATTTTCGTATACCTCAATTGAAGGGAATGAACCGTAAAATATCGTTCAATTAAACATCGAATAACATTAAAGAAATCTAAACAATCGTGTTACGCAATTTTAGTCCTTATGCCGTAGCCAAATAGGTCAAGCCGAAACAAACCCCTGATACAATTGAGCTACGCAACGTTCCGGGGCCGCCGTCAACTGCCCTTAATGGCCTAGAACGGAACGAAACAGTGAAATTAGTGAAGCGCTAATTAAACGGACATTAGTAATTACTGTATAGCATGTTTTAAAGTACTATCGAAGATACGATCTTAAAGAATATTCTTAATCATCGTAACAATTATTTGTTCAAAAAAGTTTGACATAAAAAGAAAGAAAGCATCACGTCCATATCTAATAGGAGTAAGCGAGTTCTTCAAAATTTTTATTGATATTTAAAAATAATGTTACTTGTTCTCTTGTTTTTTGAAAAATATACTCATTGACTAATTATATATACATAATAAAAATTTAATTACTTCTACAATCTGGTTGTATTATTGTAACACATTTTAACGGATAAAATATACACACTATGCATCATTCGTTTTAAGTAAAAATAACATTTTTTCTTATAAATTAAAAAAATGTTATCATATTTTATCATATCACCACATTTTCATGTCATTTATAAAAGGAGGTAAAAAAACACTTGTTGACCTCCTTAATCGGATGTAACGCAACTGCGATAACATCAGGGTAAGGCTCGGATGACGTGCTACCGACAGTATACAAACAAAACATGCTTACAATATGTTGAAGCTTAAAAAAATTATAAAAAATAAGTTGAATATTAGTTTGAAAAATTCAAACTGGCAAATACATTTGAGTCACTAATTACTACATAGCATGTATGACGCTTTCGTATCGGAAAAAGCGTCTTCAAAGAAAATGCTTTTAATTTTCAATATGATTATTCTACATGTTCGTATAGTCTTCTACTACTGTCTTTAATGATCATTAGTACTAGCAAAAAGTCTTTTCTGCTACTAGTAAACCTTTCATAGATGCACATCACCTGACCGTATATAGTGCACTTCGGTAACATCGTTCATTTTTATAAGATATTTTCTAAAAAAAATGCATGAAAATCTGCACATAAGCAGACCGATGTGCGTATTATTTGTTACTATGACGTCTAGAGACTTCTACGAAAATTAATGAATTTTCAACACAAAAGTCATTAAATTAAAGAACTTCAGAACGCTTGTAGCGTAGCATCTAACTACCTCAGGCCTGAGGCATTCGGCTACGTTTTTCTTTAACGTTCTGTCCTTACAGCGCATACTTTATTTCTATTTGGTCGTAGCGGGAGGTTGAGCGGGCGGCGGAGTGGCGGGGAGCCAGGGGTAGGGCTGGGACACGCGCGGTAGCGTCGCCCCAGCCAGTTGAGGCTGCGGCGGACCCGCGTGCGCTTGTCGTGCGAACGTATCTCATAAAAAACTGTGACCTAGCAGTGTGTGTGACGTGATATAGTGGAGCAGCACAGATGCGTGCCGCCGCCGCCTTGCCGCGGTGATCGACTCACGCATGTGACTTGTGATTGCCTGTGGTTTGCGTGCGACTAAGTGAGTTCGTTGCAAGTTTGTGGTGTACTAACTCTCGGTGCAATCACGGTAATTGCCTCCGGTAAGTTATTATTGTTTTGTATAATAATTACCGTAGCTATATGCGTAGCAATGCGTTTTTTATATTTAAAGTCATTATTCTAAAGCAAATTTACTAGAAATGAACCAATTTATTTAGTTAAACATGTTTCCGTCGGGTTCGGATCTTAAAACCTATTTCAATCAATGCTGGGCTTCAAAAACCTGATAAAACAACCAATAATGGTCTCATTTTAATTACAAATTATTTAATTATAAGCCTAATTTCCTAAAGTAAAGAAGTATAAAAGAAAATCCATAAATTATGAACAAAATTTAGCTTAGTAAAATAATATTATAAAAAACCTGATTTTAGCACAGACATATTATTAATTTAGGTGTGTAAAATACAGTAATGTAATTGAATTGTTAACAAATCAGAATGAAAATTAAAACAAACGATTGACGTGGTGCAGTCAACAAGGTCGTGTTCCAGGTGATACGTTCAATTAGAACACGAGGACCAAAGAATCTTCATTCTACATAATTTATTAGACTGAGCTATTTCATAGAAAATATAACTTCCGTGAATTAATCAGTGGTTCAACAGTGGTAGAGCCCGCTTCAATATCTTCGCACGAACTGGCCCGGCTCGCCCGGTGAAATACCACGACTACACAGAAGATAGGCGTGAAGTGGAAGCAATTCCGCGTTTCTTCTGATGAGTGTGTCCCGGAGGCCTTATTTAGTCCTCTTTCCCTTCCCACCCTTTTTCTTATAAGGAAAGGATGGAAAGTGGAAGTGGACTTTTCGGATGAGAGGATGCATGGAAAGGGAAAATATTTTCTTTCTGTGCATCCTCTCCTTCGTCGATTAAAGGTAGGCAACGCATATGCAATTGCGTATGTCTATGGGCAAAGGTCACTTCGCTATTTCAGCGATTTCAGGTGGCCGCTCGCTCGTTTGATACCTTATGATATAATAAAAAAAAAATCAAACTCATTCTGAGCTTTGACTCCATAACAGTATGGTAAGTAATTTGTTCAACGCAACTAAAATTGGTAGGAGTAAGAGTGGAGTTGATTGAATGACCTCACGTAGCTAACCCAACTTTGATAAATCGTAGCAATGTCTACGAAAGGTCTACGCCGGAATGTATCGGTTACGAGTTTTCGATTTATACCAATGTAATCACTTGTTTATGTATTTTTCTATGTACTTTTACTCTTTCGTTATTAATTATATTAAATAATAAAATTGGGAATATAAAGGAATTTTCTACGCATACAAAATTACAGTATTTATGAACAACGTTGCTTATTTTTGAACTACCGGCAAAAAAGAAAGGAAGGTTAATAGAAGTTGTAAATGTATATTTTGAATTGGCTTAATACAACGAAAATATTTTTGCCAGAGTAATATCGTAAGCGCTAAGAGGGTTGAGCTCTTTTAACTTATTCCCATAAGACCGCTTTGTACAAAATTTCAAATTTTCATCTTAAGCTTATAAATGATTGTTTTTGAACATCGAGTTTGTTGTTTTCCTTTTGTATTAAATGGAACTATTATATCTATAACTTTTTTAATAATTAAATGAATAATACATTTCAAAAACAAACTTTTATTATGGTCTAGTTAATTAAAAGAATTAAAAAAAAGACAAAATACCCGTCATGACGAATCAAACGATCCCAACCGCGATTAGGTTGTGTCCTTTCATTGCGTTGTTCATAGCCATCTTCTAGCACCGGCGTTGGACCAGAACCATGTCTTTGTAAAATCGCGTTGTAACGCAATTCACATTTGTATAAAATATCAGCTCAATCAGTACCCGGGAGGTAGATCAAATTACATTTACAAGATCTGATAACTAAATAAAAACTTGTAATATTAGATAGTTTTTTTGCCTGTTATTAAACAGTAAAATACTAAAAATAAATGTTTCTACTGTTCTTATCTTTTTCTTTTTTAGCGATTAACATTTGGTTATCTTTTCTCTCTTCATATGCGTACGAAGTTAAATCTATTTGAGTAAACCTATTATGTTTTTGGTCTTTCAATTTTTGTTACTAAAACATAAAATTAAATTAGTTTCACGGTAGATAAAATATATAAATTGTCAATTTCTAGTTTTATCATTACTAATGTGCATTAACAGAGTAATTACTAATAACTAATCAAATCAACGCACTGAAAATACTATTAATAAAGTAATATGTACTTGATACTCTGTATATCAGTGTATCGAGCCATCGAAGAAAATTTATGTATAAAAGCACTCATGATTCTAGTCTATATTTCGCAGTAAAGTTATTTTATAGGTTCTCGTATAGAACTCAAATAGTAATGTAATGATTCTAATCAGAAAAGTGACAGTTTTTGATACGATCTATGTAACAATTTAAGATATAAAACATTTTATTCTAACTCTTAGTCTATATAGAATTCCGTCGATCTACAATAACATATTTTTCAAAGCGGAGACGCAATTTAAAATAAGAAATATCAAAGCTTAAGCCTGTCGCGTTGAGACCAGACGGTCTCTTGAGAAATTTCCGTGTTTTATAGGACAAAATAAATAGACGTTAGAGTCCAGAAAAAAAGTGATTCTGATAATATGATTTTGAAAATTGCCTTTAAATATTCAAGCATCTTTTTTTTTATAAAATAAATAAAATGCAAATTGGATTTATAATTCAAAATAAGGATTTATTGAAATCTTTTGCTTTTATCAAAAAAAAAATTGATTTTTTTTTGTCCCAAAAGTAGTTAAGAAAAAATAACTCAGAATTACAAAAAAAGTCTGATCAAGAACGGCACTAAAACGTCAATTTCATTTCAGATAAACGATGAAATTTTTGTGTATTTTTATGTTTTAATCAAGAGTAGAATAATTTATGCCGGAATCTGTTGGACCGAGATGCAGAGCGGTATTGATTTTGTTCAGAAATAGCAACGAGTTCTTTTACTGTTCACGATCCGATGTTTTCAAACAATGAACTTTAATATAATGCCATTTCGATATAAAAGAAAATATAAATACTGAATGTATGAAAATATATATTTTGAATACGTCAAATTCTTTTCTTTTAGTTGAGATTACTATGAATTTGGGCTCGGGATTATCAAGTCTATATACAAGACAAGGTCGCCTGCGACGCCGTCCGCACGGAATTAAAAAAAAACTTAATTAGTAGACTGTATTCTTCCAGACTATGTTCTATATTAATGCCATTATCAAGATCTGATTAGCTATTCTGAAGATACCTTAAAACAAACATCCCTCCATCCATCTAAGTATTCACGTTTAGAATATTATAAGTAAGATAAATAAGATTATATTATACATTCATATATGAAAACATTATACCCTGTTGTTAGTTAGGAAAAAATGTAATAAAAGTACGTGAATAATTTTAATCATACAATATTATTAATTATTTGCCCTTGCTTTGAACTGAATTAATTTTAAACATTACAGTAATTAAGCCATCAGTGCTGGAATGTAATTTTGGTTAAACTTTTGTCATTGTAAATTTATATTTCAACAGCGAATGTACTCGAACTTTTCAAAAACTAACCGAGATAAAATGTTATTTCAGTGACAAAAAATTTAATTGCATTTGAATTTGTACTATGTATTTACTATTGTTATCTTTTTATATACTAAAAGCAAACAAATACATAATTTTGTATATAAATAATCTTTGTACAAAAAAATCCTGTTAAAACGATTGTTATGAATGCTTAATTTTAATTAAAATAAAATCTTTGCCAAAGCCATTGCTTTGTTTACTAAAAAAATTATAACGATTATTTTTATGAAGACAAGTTAACATAATGGAGTCATCAAAATCGTGAACAAATTACTTATACTGAAAATCTTTCAAAATTACAATAAATATGAAGAACACAGAATTAAAATGAAAAATACTTGATATTTTCGAATGTGTGTCGTAACTAAACAATGTCATTTACTCTTTAATACAATACATGTGTAACACTTCGCTTGCATCTTAAAACTCGGACTCCATTGGGCTAAATGCCAATTACGAGTAAGTGGCGGCTAAATTGGTAGTTAGTCGAGCCGTTTTAGTGTTCAGATATAGCTTATCCTACTAAGCTATATATCAAATACTTCGCTAATATATTCGACCTCCTTTCTATATAAGGTTAAGTTCCTCACGAAAAAGCTCTGATAGAATTAATAATATATATTAGTGTCTAAAATATAAAGCCAATGTTTTATATTATAAGGTCGTCACCTAACAAACAATCGTCACCTAAATTAGCTGAAATAGCGAAGCTACCGCTGCCCATATACATCTGCAACGGCAGATTTGTTGCTTACCTTTAATCCACAGAGGAGGGGGTACAGAAAGGGAATATTTCCCTTCTCCATGCGTCTCGTCCTCTGTCAAATCCATTTTCCCATCCTTTGCTTAAAATAAAGGATTTGGAGAGAAAGGGGACTAAAATTAGGAATCCGGCATACAAGTAAGATGCGTATAGCAAAATTTTACTATAATTTGAGAATCTTTGTATAAAATGTACATTATCTAGTCTTCTCGAGTGTATTGTAGTCAAAAAATTGCTTATAACTTTACCACAATTGATTTAAATTCAACATACCAGAATTTATTTTCGGAATATTTAATGGACATCATGTTTAAAATATAGGTTACGTACTGATAATTTCCTTTTAAAGTTACAAGACCTAGTATTCAGAGTAGGAACGCATATGACCTACTCACCGCATTTAACTTTATTCTAACAGCCGTATGCAGCTTTTTCTCTTCAGTTCCAACTAAAAGCCAAGAAAAGTTCTCAAACTTGTGCAATTAAACTGTATCTATTGACCTCCTTTCAAAAAATCCTTTTATATCACTTGATTGTGAGTTTTTTTCACTTAACACTTAAATGCAAATAAAATATACATTGCGCTTTGCGTTGTCTGCAAGAATTTAAAATATAATAGAAGAGAATCTCTTATCTACTACAGTAGATTGGATTTCGTTAAAATGTCACAGATTTAACTTAATA